TCGAGCCGTGAGTGTTCGGCAACTCTCGATCCTGAGCCCATCAACTCTTCTCCCACCAAGAAGCAACGCACTCTCCATCTTCCTAAAGGTGTGACTGCTTCCAAGCCTGTGGTTGCTCCATCTGTATCGGAAAAGGTTTCACCAAAGAAGACTCACCAGTCCAAGACTTCCAAGACCGAGGCTCCTCCCCGTACGTCTCGGAAGTCATCTGCCAAGTCTACTGGTCGTCGTGGTTCTAAAGCATCGTCGTCCAAAATCCCCAGTCCTCGTTCAGTGCCAAAGCGCACTGTTGCTCGTCGCTCAGAGTTCCGGTCGTCCCTGCATTACGAATTCCAAGACACATTTGATGCTCACGCTATTGGAAAGGCGCGTATGACCCATTCATCGTCCGTTGGTCTAGACCTGGATGATTCTGGCGATCCCAATCCAGTCTCGGTATCTACCATCTCTGCAGACGACTCGTCGTCTGATGAATCCATCATCTCGGTTGGCAAGTTGGAACCCGCAGCGGGGACTCAGAATCCAATCGATCTGGCGTCTTCTGCTTCAGAAAATGACGATTCGAGTGATGACGAAGATCGAGAGATGGCTAAGCTTCGTCCTGAGACGGAGTGTTTGGAAGACGTTCCGAAAACGGAGCCTCAGGATGTTATAGACAGCACTCCTGCTGCTGTTGACCATCTGGTTCTAACTCCCAGTCGTCGCGTTCCATTCCAGTCGCGAAGTCGCCTGCTGCGACTAAATCTTCGGCTATCCCCCAGTCAAGGCTGTTCCTAAGCCAACTTCCACAACGACCAGGAAGACAAGAGCTCGTGTGATCACTAGTTCTGCTAATTCTGGTCTCCCTTCGCTCCTTTTGACGAAGACTATTCTTGTGGAGCTCTTTCATCGTGTTGCAACTAAACTCAAGCGGTACGTTGGTCCCTCAACGATGACTCACGTGGAAGTTTTGTACTGGATGAAACTGGAAGAGTCTTTCCTTCCAGAGCCATTATCTCCAGAGGCTGAGTTCAGGTGTACTACAAAGACTATCCGCGACTTTGGAAATTTCATAAGTGAGAATCATCCGTGGCGCCAAGACCTTCCCAAATGGCCTGATCGTCCTTGCCTCATGGATGCAGAAGGGTTTGACATTGATATGCACATTTCTCAACGTGCTAATATTGCTTTGAAGGCCTTTGGAATTTGGCGTCGGTGTCGTGGTTATGGTGACGAAGACTCGAGTTCCACTTGGCTTCGCTGATTACGAGCGTAAACACGGGGTTGATGTTCGTGCTGTGGAGCGATATTTTCTCGCGCTTTCTCGCCGAATTGCTAATATGCCGGGCAAGAAGGCGCGCATTCACGCCAACAATGCTCTGGAGCAGCTCAAGAAGATTTGGGCCTCCTACCATTCTAAGCGCGCTGCTCGTGCTGACAATCTTCGCCAGTTCATCCTGAATCGTTTCTGGACTTGGTGTGCCCCTGTCGATGCTCCTCTCCCGGTGCAGACTATGATCGAGCCCACCATGCCTATCTATGCTCTGTAAAATATGACTTGGGTTTCGAAGACTGAAGACTGGTGTGCTGAGGCTGTTGCCTTAGATACTGCGGAACCATGGCGTACTAGTACGAGTTGGCTTTCCTGTCCGGAAAAGTATCCTTATAACACCATTTATGTCCCGTGTAATCGCCATGCTCCTCTCTCTCTTCCAGCTGGATTTACTGTGGAGACCGTGGGTCCATTAATCGTCCCAGATCCTTCGTTGGAACCCAACTATATTAATCCAGAATGGGATCGTGCATTTCGTGTTGAGGAAATTGAGGAGGAAGAGCCGGAAGAAGTTGATCAGGAAGAAGATGAGGTCGTCGAGGAGATTGCTCCACCAACGCCCTCATCTCCTACTCCGTCCGCTGTCGGCTCATCGTCTTCCGTGGAAACCCTCGAGCCGCCCGATGAAGAATTGGACGAGGAGTCTAGTGCTGCTGTTCTCGCTAGCCTTTATGCTGGCCCCAATCTCGCGTGATCGTTGCTCGTCGTATCGCTCAAGCTTCCGTTTTAGTTCTTATTTGTCGTCTTAGTGCAGTGTAGTTGGGCACATTCGTCAACTTTTTTAGTTCAATCATTTTTGTTTTCGTTTTCTTTCTTGAATTCCATACAAAATACAACCATGAATCATGTTTTTTGGATGGCAGTAGTGATTTTAAGTCCGCAAAGGTAGGCTGATCCGCCTCACATTCGGGTCATCCACTGCTGTTTTGTTAGTTTTCGTCTGTAACTTGCACCATTTGCAGTCGATGTTCGCTTTTCTTCTTCCGCAGGTAGTCATAGAGTAATCCACCGCATGACAAGTTTGATGCTGGTTCCCATGTCGTCTCATCATATCCAACCCACTTGACTTCGAACTCCCGCACTGGTTTATCTGTGCTAGTGGACATGGGTGTTCGGTCGTTTAAGATTGCTTTGACCTCGAATTCTCCTGCTACGTGGTCAGGCCGCTCCCAGCTATCTTCTTCATCGAAATCCAGACGTGAATATTTCGGTAACATCTTGAGCTAATCGAGTCTTAGGTCGATCGCAGTATTCATTGACTGCCTTCAGTCGTGATACGTGGACTACTGGGTAGAACCTATAGCCGCTTTTATCTGGCAATTCCAACTCGTATGCAAATTCTTCCACTTTCCTTTTCACTCTAAATGGACCGTGCCATCGGTGCGCTAACTTATTCACCAATCCAGGTTTAACGCGTTCCATATAAAGCCACAGTGATTGTACTGATTTGTGGTCATCAGTTGAGTGTTCGTTTGGGTCTCCAGGGACTGTTGCATGTTCCTTTCGGCTTAGCTTGTCATTATGGATCTGCGCACGTCTTGCTTTTTCTGTCGCTTGGTATTCTTTCGCCATTTCCAGAGCAATTTGATGTTGACGATTGATCTCTCTTCGCCATGCCAATGCCTCAGTCTGTTTCCCGACTCCTCGCTTCAGCGACGTCGTCATTGCTCGTAAGGTTGTGTGAGCATCCCAACCATGTACAAGATAAAATGGCGTCTCCTTGCGAGTCATATCGTGCGAATTGTGACTGCAAATACAAGTCGTTCAGCAATCTCGTCCCAGTCTTGCTGGAGTGGGGCTTCCACGTAAACGTTTACCGATTGCATCACCGTCTTAACCGACCGCTGCTGCTGACCTGATAAATGCTTTCTTCAAATACTTTCGCCACTGTCAATGCGTCTGTATCTGACATCGCTTTCGCAATAACAAATCCAGTAAATGCACATTGCCACAAGAGTAGTGCCGTATTCCCTCGTCGAGACTTTGGTAGCGGAATTACAAAGTCCATCGATACTACTTGGAATGGCCGTTCGGCCAGCAAATTTCCAGGTGAATATCCTTTGAATTGTGGGAGACTCTTACTTGAGCTACAGTCTAGACATGATTTAACGTGTTTCTCCACGTCCGCATAGAGGCCAATCCAGTAGTAGTTCAGTTTTTTACTTTCTGGTATGACCGGACTACTCCTTGATGTCCGCCTTCAATAGAGTCATGACAATTTTGGAGAACCTCCTGTATCATGATCTTCATCCAGTTTACGCCTGCTTGGGCCCACGTAATATAGCATGTTGTCACTGGATAGTACGAACTTGTCTGCCCATTTCCATGCTTCCCTGGCCTCTTTATACGTCATCTTCCGCATATCTCCTCTGAGGACCGTTTTCATCACTGACCAACGTTGCTCTTCGTCCTGAGCGACTGCTATGCGTCGCCGTCGTTCTTCTTGGACTGTTATTGGGTCAATGTCTTCCGCATTTGGTACCCATTGGAGCTCAGCCGATAGTCTGGTTGGTTCTGTGGTTGGTTCTTTTCTGGTTGCCTCAGTCGTAGTTTCGAGTTCGGGTGTTGCATTTGGCCTTTACCTGGTTGTTCATCTTCAAACTGGACTCGTTTTCGACTGGTAGTCTGACGCCTCGTTATGGCTGCTATCGTTGCATGTTCGTGAGCGGATTTCAAGGCGTCTGGGTCTTCTGTCCTATGGTTGTCTGACGTAGTGTCGTAGATCATTTCTTGAATTCTGTTCAGTTCTTTGAGTTCCACCTTCCGATGATCGCTCAGCACAACTTTCGACACTTTGGACTCCAGGGCTTCACCAGCAAGCGAATCGGCCGCCGCGTTGTTTTCTCGTATGACGTGAAGGTACCTGACGGACTTGAATTTGGCAGTGAGTTCTCGGTGGCGGTTAAGCAAGGTAATTAATGAATCCTTTCGACATGCGATCACCCCTAGTGATTGTTGGATTGCGAGCCTTGAATCTCCGACTATGGACTATGACTAAGGCGTCAGCACCGAATTCAAGGGCTACTTGGACCCCATTATTCATTCCAGTGTATTCAGCCATATTCACTGTAGTAGTCTCAAGGTAAGCACTCGCAGCGATCACTCTTTGCCAATCAGCCAATTTCCAAAGTATCCATGAGTGTCGTGTTGGGAATCCACGATTGTACCCCTCCCGCCACTCA